GAAGAAATCCTCCGCCAAGCACCCAATGGTGGTCCAATATCGACTGTTACCCTTGCCATCGCAACATCTCGACTAAATTCCCGCCTCCGTAGAGAAGGACTCTCGGCTCTCGAGCTGTGGAACAGCGAGATCAGTTCACTCATGATCAACTTCCCATATGTGATCGCAAAGTAATCCAAGAGCAACATCTACAACGAAAACAAAACCACCCGTATAGTGAGAAATCGAAAAACCGAAATAGGAATTCGTTTGCACCTCCTACAATTAACGTCGGGGACTTGGTTTATTTAGTCGCTGAGCGAGATAAGACACAACCCCGCAGTAGATACTTGGTCATATCTGTGGAAGACCCATGGTGTGTCATCAAGAAATTTTCAGGTAATCAACTGCGTGCTACATCGTATAAAGTTAAAACTACTGATTGCTTGATCGTCCCAAACCGGTCAATATCGAGTACACCGTATCCCCATCGTGACAGGGACAGTTCCGATGAAGAAGTGTGTGAAGAATGCCCATATCAGACAAGTAACGTTCCGCCCACGTTAACAACTCCAGCCGACAACAGCATCTCGCCAACCACTACTCAGCGCCCTCAACGCAAACGCCAGTCTCCAGATTATTATGGATATTAGAGAACAAAGTATTACGTAAATTGTTTATATTGTAGTTATACTAACAGTCATCTTTCGTTGACACTAAGTTAAGAAGAAGAAGATACCACGCCATAAATGGCATATTGATATTGTTTATTTAACAGCAGTAATTATATTGACATTATCATAAACACAGGAACTTCCGGTTTATCGCTAGTCACTCACGTGACTGCTTGTACTTCGAAAATACGAATTGCTCTGTAAAACATATAGTTTTATCGTTCGTTGTTTGCGAGTCTTTCTTCTATACTGGCGTAGCTTAATTAATCTTAAATTTCTGTTTCCAAGCGAACAATGCGCAAAAGCACCATTACGTAACAATTTGGTTGATCATATATGTTAATCTCAGATTTAACTTTTTATTCCTAACCTTTTGTGAATTCACCTGATTTTTAAATTTCCGCCTGTGTTGGTTGGGGGGAGTTTGATTGACTTTATTGACACTTCCCTAAAAGTGACAAAAATATATATACATATCAATTAATTACTATAATTATACATCAGATCCTAAATTCATATACGCAATTACTTTATACACAAACACAACATAAAATTCTTGACAACATGATACAACATACATCAACATCATCAACAACGACAGCAAAAACAACAACAACAACAACAACAACAACGACATCAACGACAATAACAACGACAATAACAACGACAACGACAACAGAAAAACATGTCCTTAGGCTAACTATCTAGAAATTGCTGAAGCAGTTCCCGTTTCAGTTTAATTTTAAAGCTTGGAATAGATTTGCAAAGTTTTAAGTCAGGGTTAATGTTGTTCCAGAGAGTGACAGTTCCGTAATGGAATGTTCTTTGTCCTGCAGTTGATCTGTATAACGGAACGTACAGCTGTTTACAGCTGATTAGTATTTCTAGTATCGCGACCACTCACTTCACCTCTCGTTTTGAACTGAGACGATAAGTAGGCAGGTGCGCAATCATTCATGCATTTGAAAGTTAATAAAGCATCGCGACTGTACAGATGTGACTTCACGGGAAACCAGCGCAGTTCCTTAAGTATCGGGGTGATGTGGTCAAATTTCCTTCTGTTGCTCACTACTCGTGCTGCGAAGTTTTGGACTCCTTGAAGTCGGGATAGGTTGCTGCAAGAAGTATTTGACCAAAGCGAGGACCAATAGTAGAGTTTGCTAAATACTAAGGCGTTGATGACAGTTATTAAAAGGTTTTTACGGAAGACATGCTTAGCGCGATTTATTTGGCAGAGGCTTGACTTGTAGGATGAAACAGTAGAAAGGATGTGATTGTCGAAGGAGAGAATTGGATCAAACTTAACTCCGAGATCTTTCCCTGATGAAGCAGGTGTTAGTTCCTTACCAAGTAGCGAGAGTCTAAAATCAGGTAACTTCGCGAGCATTTGGCTGCTTCCGCGTAGACCATCAATTTAGTTTTGTCTGGATTCACCAAGAGCAGGTTATCAAAACACCAGTTTCGCATTCTAATCAAATCCTCGTTTAGATCAGTCAGCGCAATGTTCGAGTCATTGAACTTTTGGCGACTGACGGCAAATCATTCACATAAATACTGAAAAGTAACGGGCCCAGAATACTTCCCTGTGGGACACCACTAACTACTAACAAAATCTCAGATAGAGTAGAGTTGATACGTACTGCTTGGTATCTCTCGCTGAGGTAACTTTTAAAACAACCCAGGCATCTAGACGAGACACCAACGTCCTCCAATTTAGCAAGCAGTATATTATGGTTAATGCTGTCAAAAGCTTTGCTCATGTCCGAAAGAATAACTGCTGTTACTTTCTTCTGGTCAATTGCTTTAAGAATAGAGTCGGTGGAATGAATAATGGAGGTTTCTGTTGAATGCCAGGTTTTGTTGCCACTTTGATGCACAGAGAGACGATGATTGGTGGTTAGGTAAGACGTCAGTTGGTGGAGTGCTACACGCTCACATACTTTTGAATGAACTGGTAATAGGGAAATGGGTCGGTTATTGTTCGCCAGCTCATGATCACCTTCTTTTGGAATGGGAGTTACTTCCGTGATTTTCCAAGTATTCGGGAATATATTGTTCACCAGAGAGTTGTTTATGATTGAGATTATCCATGGCGAAATAACGGGTAAAACCCCTCCCTTCGGCAGCTACAGTACGTCTCTGGATATCTGGGTATGCGCAGTATCTGTCAATCTGTTTGAAAAGTGTTTTCATGCAACGAACTTTGAGCCATGAAGGATTGTCGATTGCTGTTGTAATTTAAAATCTGAATTGTAAGTATGCATGTTCGTACAATATATTCTTGCAGTTGAAGAACATCACTTTTTTCAAGCCTCGATCAACTCGATTTTGCATGTAGGATCATAATTTTCCCAGTTGAAAGGCTCCTATTCGATGTATGGGTAGTTACATTGCCTAAAATCGTTATTTAACGTAATTCCATAGTATACTAGAATAAAAACTTCATCAGATATTAAGTTTAGGTCATTCGCATCATTTGTTTCTTGTACTGAAGCCATTTATTTTCCAGCGCAAAATTGTGCGGCGGTTCAATCTTCAAAATTCCCAAACAATTTTATATTAATATAATATTCAATGTTGAAACGTTCAATGTTGTAACGATAGTATTCAAAATTGTTTGACTGCACGAACCCTTTGGATAGTGCTGGTATGACATGCATTATTTAATACACATACAGGATCACCAAACCAGAGATCACAACACGACTGCATGGCTGGAAAATTTGTTTTTCGCTAAAAACATTTTAAAATCTCTTTAATAAAATCCTCACATTTTTACAATATCATGCATTCTTGCAATACTTGCATAATATTTTTAAGTTATGAATTTTTCTTGCAGAGACTAAGGCCTGTTTCAAACATCGCACTTCTCATGTGCCGAACGCATTAGAAACAATAGATTATGAGGCATTTCGATCAGCTGATTATCTGAGGTTTTTAATGCGTTTAGCACATGAGAAGCGCGACGTTGGAAACAGGCCTAAGGCCCGCTTAATACTTCGAATTTTGGTCGCGTCGAATGCAATTACGACAATCGATAATGAGAATATAAACCACATTACGCTTTATTAACTATTGTTTGAATTGCATTCGACACGACCGAAATTCGACGTATAAAACAGGACTAAGTAATTTCATTAAGCCCTGATGGAACGCACAACCTTCGAATCTGGTTTCTAGTGCCACAATCATTAAGCCTTTAAGTATCAGAGCAACCAAGTGCTTGATGGACGTCAAACTATCATCATACAGCTGTATATCACTGAAAAGATGATCATTATAATCATTGTAAATACGATCACAGCATGTGATATTGCACAATCCCATCGTTTAACATTTTCCCGAATTTTTAATGTAATGTGAGTGCTGGCTTGTATATATTTTCCATGTTATACAGTTAGAGAGGGAGGTTCAGATTTTGACTTACACCACCGTTATCATTAATCAATCAGATGCATTAACCGTCTTCCACACGATACGCCAATGAAATGAGTATTAAGACTGTGAGAGGTAGAGAGGTGGAAATAAATTTGGAAGCTCTCTATAAATTTCGTAAGAAAACAGAAGTACAAAATAAAGATTTTATGAATATTTTTATCTAATAAAACTCCCATATGCAAACAATACTTATAATAAAGTAATAATAAACTAATAAAAAAACTATATTTCAATAATATTTTACTGCCAATTGAAAATCAGAATTTTGTCTAGGAAAAAAAAGAATATTGCACGCTGTAGATCACACGCCCCCAGCGCGGTCGTATTACAGGGCCGTAATTTATTTTACGGCTGGGCGGAGGGCGGGGGGGGAGAGCTTGTTTTGCCCAACCAAAAGGGCGTGGCGAAAGTCGTGCTAGAGGGAGATCATTAATATTTCTTTTCCCAAATGTTTTTACTTGCGAACTATTGTCGACACAAATTAAACCTGGAAAAGTGATATAATTTCAAGTTGTTTAATATACACTCATGTTGGAATATTATTATTATTTCGCACCTTCCAAACTTTCTTGAATGGAATCTCTAGCGTCTCTATTCATTTACAAGCATTGCGACTGAACCAGAAGGAAATTCAGTATAATAAGTTATATATATATAACTTTTTTAAGACTTTATTCTTATCCCACGTTTCGGGTCATGCCCCTTTATCAAGGATAAATAACAGAGTTAGATGCTTTTATATCCTATTCAATTCATTAACATAAATTACCCAAAATCCCTTACATTTAATCCCTTAGATGCAAACCTGTCCAATTATATGCCCAAAATGCCTCTTTTTGCGTAGGATCATTCATATTTTTTTTGTCAATAATAATAACTCTGTGATCGGCCAAGCGCTCGTGTTCCTCGCCAAAAAAAATTTTTGCAAAAAATTAATTGTAAATTTGCCCAAGATTTTGCGTAAATATCACCGACATGTTATGCAATTATATTATTGCAATTGCTTTATAGCCCCTACCTGGGTACCCAGTACAAAACAACTGCAAGGTAAACTCGTTTATTTTAAGAAATCTGAAAATTTCTGTGAGCCAAATTATTCCGTGGGCATTGTTGGTGTTGGTCGCACATGTAATCGCACATCGAATGGTCATGATGATTGTACTGCGATATGCTGTGGACGACCTTACAAGACATCTGTGTCGGTTGAAATTGTGAAATGCAATTGTCGTTTTGAATGGCCTTGCTGTAAGATAAAGTGTGATAGATGCAAGCAAACACGAGTTGTGGACACTTGTTGGTAATGCTATATATCTGGATATTGTTTTCGTAGAAGAACAGTGGTTTAGATGACGTTATTTGTGCGTTGTTGTGTAATCTTCACCTCTGCAGAGGATTACATGAAGTTTGTAGTTGTGTAAATTATTTTTAAATGCCTAAGGTAGCTTAGCGAAGTTTGATGCCATATATTGTGCTAATTTCTTTCAAAGCCGGAACAAAATTATAAAGGTGTTTAGAATGAGGAATTAGACTTCTTCGCACGTCTAGAACTCTTATCACCATAATTATCAAACATCCTAGAGAGAACTTTTACATTAATGGTCAATTGGAAGAAATCCAATTTTGATCAAAAATGTTTTAGTTATGCCATGGGACTATCATCAATTCCTTTTACAAATTAAAATATATTGGCATTAGAAGATAGCGTTACAATTTCTAGCCTGCGAACAGGCTCACTGGAAGAAAGGTGAGCCTGCACGGAACCATGCGTTTTATTCAATCATAGTTAATAGAAACACAGACATGGTTAGGAAAGCTGGGTCACGTGACGAATTATGTTATTGTTCGGATTGATGACTGTGACGTCACAACGAAGGTGCATCAATGGCCCTTTGATTAATAGAAACAATATGGAGCCATATCGTATTTCAAAATATTCTTGCTTCGTTTCGCCGCTGTTGCGTATGCCGGGCGCTAACTGCAGCATTTTTGGCTGCAATACTAGTCGAAAAACTACTGGAGTAAGTATTTTTGCGTTGCCTAAAGGGGAAGACGAGTTATCTCGGAAAACTCGTGAAGAGTGGATAAGACAAATAACAAGAAATCGTGTTATAGACCAAGATTTAAGACGGCAAATTGAGGCGCGTACACTGCACATCTGCGAAAACCATTTCGAGGAAAGGTTTATTGAAAAACGTAAGTCTCACTAACATTATGAATATATTAATGTTTTCTTCATTTGCATACGTAAAATCCTTTTTATTTGTCATATTAATCGATGCGTGACCAAATATATTGTCTTGTATGATATATGAAATGTGTGATCAATGTATGAATCCTTGAATGGCCCTTTGTTTATGTTGCAGATTCTACTCGTAAAAGATTGACTCCTGGAGCAATACCAACATTAAATTTTCAAAAAAAATCGTTTGACTCGGAGACACAATCAAGGAGAAAAAGTGAAAGGAATGAAACGCCTATTGAGCCCTCCACTAGTGGCATAAAATCGAAGGTATATAAACATCTAGATGATTTTAAATGTGTGATTTCTCGTGTAAAACTATCTGGGTGGTCTAGAAAGGAAACCGAACATGATTTTACGCTGGATTACTTTGACTCTGAACATGCACTACCATTATATTCGATAAGAGTGGATTCTGGTCTTGGGTTTTCTATAGCTGTCTTTGGTTGGTTTTTGCCTGACACCCATGAGATTTATTATGAACATAAACGTTCTCTGTTTGATATATCTGCGCCATCACTGTGTAAAGTAGTCCAATCATTTTCTGTTTGTCCTGGTTTGCCTGAAACTTTACATGCAGTTGATCCTATTGTTGGTATTTCACAAGTTACCAAGCACTCTGTACCCATTGCTCCAGAGTTGTATTGTGATGATGGTCCACCATTCAAAGTTAAGGTGTTTGCCAGGTCAGAGAATTGTGCAGTATTGTTCAATTTAGCAGACCAAGATTCCTGTCATAGTTGTTTGAGCCTTTTCCAAGCTAAACAAAAAAAGGTGCCTTTGAAATCTGCACTGAAAGCAACGGCTGTTAAAGATAAAGCTCCTTTGACCAGCTGCAGCAAAGAAAGGTTGATTGCCACCATCCAGCAACAACGTGTAAGGTGTAAAGATCTCGAGAGCCAGCTTGTGAACATGCAAAGGGAGATTCATTCGAACAGTATTGAGATCAATAAAACTCTTGAAGACGACATCTTGAGTATTTTGGATAAGAGTGATCTTAAAACTTCGCCCCATATGAACTTGTTCTGGCAACAGCAGAAGAAACTTCTGGCATCCCCCAAGTTCGGTCGAAGATATCATCCCCACCTTATCAGATTTTGCCTCTCCTTACACTCCAAGTCACCATCAGCATACCGAGAACTGGTATCATCTGGTGTTTTAGTGTTGCCGAGTGAACGGGTTTTAAGGGACTACAGGAACTTCTTCAAACCAAAACCTGGTTTCAATGAAGCAAATGTTACCCAATTACGAGAGCAGACCAATCAACTGTTTGATGTGCAGAGGTATGTTGTATTGTCATTTGACGAGATGAAAATTCAGTCAAATTTAGTTTTTGACAAACACAGCAATGAACTCATCGGTTTCGTTGATCTTGGTGATGATGATGTCAATGTGGCAGCTCTGGACTCACCTACTACCCTTGCAAGTCATGTTTTGGCATTCATGATTAGGGGTGTAGCAAGTGACCTGAAATATATCCTTGGATATTTCAGCACTGAGAATGTTACAGCTTACCAATTAATGCCATTGTTTTGGAAAGCTGTTTCCATTCTTGAGTTAGGGTGCAATTTATGGGTATGTGCTGCTGTCAGTGATGGTGCTTCGCCGAACAGGAAGTTTTATGAGCTACATGCTGGGCTTGTTGGGGAAGAGTACAAGGTTGATTTTGTATATCGAACAGTCAATCTCTTTGCTCCAACACGATTCATTTACTTCTTCTCTGATGCTCCCCATTTACTCAAGACAGCGAGAAACTGCCTTTTCAATTCGGGTACAGGGAAACATACAAGATTAATGTGGAATGGTAAGAATATGATATGGAATCATATAGCTGCACTTTACCATGCTGATTTAGAACAAGACCTGCATCAGCTACCCAAGCTAACAGTTCACCACATAAATCTTACCTCATTTTCCAAAATGAAGGTTCGTCTGGCTGCGCAAGTGATGAGCAACACAGTTGCTATGGCTCTTTATCGGCACTACCCCCAAGGAGACGCTGAGGAAACTGCAAAGTTTTGTGAGATGGTCAACAAGTTTTTTGACTGTCTCAATACCCGGTCAACTACTGAGCACATAAGAAAGCGGAATGAGTTTCTAGCTGAATACACTAGTCTCGATGACAGTCGTTTTGATTGGCTACAAAATGTATTTACTGCATACCTCGAGGACTGGTACAAGAGAGTCCAAGAACGACCAGGTGCATTTACAAGTGATGACAGAGGAAAGATGTTCATCTCGCATCAAACATACAAAGGGATAAAGATAACTGTAAATTCATTAATCGAGGTTGTAAGGTTTCTGCTTTCAGAAGGTTGTGAATTTGTACTATCTGAAAAGTTTTGCCAGGACCCTTTGGAAGAGTATTTTGGACACCAGAGAGCAAGAGGTCGGTTTAGTGATAATCCAACACTGCAATCATTTGGCTACAATGACCTCACGATTGCAGCACAACGTGGTATAGATCCTGTTGTCAGAGGAAATGTGTCTGGTCGGCATGAAGAGAAAAGCTCAAAAAGCTCAAAGTGGTATGCAATTTCTGAGGAACCCCTTCCAAAACGAAAGAAAACAAAGGCAAAGAAACCATAATTGCACACCCTTGGTAATAATTGAGGTAGTGCATTCAGGTATTTACTCTAATGTACACAAAGTATCATTATCATCAAACTATAATAAATTTTAATGATCATAATACTATATAGTGCATGGGCCGGTTGTTCAAAGGTGGGTTAATGCTAACCCAAAATTTAACCTGCTGTTTTAGTTTGTGTACTTCCATAATCTGTGTATTTCAAAACGTCAGAGAAGTAAACTCCTATTGATATTGATCCAGACAAGATCTCTGAAGAAATATTTCCAAATTTATAGACAAGCTGTCAGGAAGTTTGCTTCGAATTTTAAGTTAACCAAGAGTTAAACTAACCCAGCTTTGAACAATCGGCCCCTGTACTGTAATAAAATATCAATGAAAATCAAAGCCCAGAAAGAATACCTGTAGCATGAAGATTCTTTCATGTACTATTTATTGTATACCTTGTTTTGTTAGTTTATTCTTGTTACGAGTGTTTCTCACTGATTTGCACTCAGTGCAAAATGTTGCATGTTCAATGTTTTGTGATTGGTTTTTGCTGAATTATCAACTGTCACAATTGTGCATTTTATCTGCAACTGATGATATGACATTGGCATTTTGCACTGAATGGAAATCTTTATAGAGAACTAACTTCCAGAAAACTAGACAAGCCAATTACTTGTCTACTGTACATGTACAGTAAAAGTTGTAGGATTTTGATCATTTGTGTGATTTCATCCAACCTCGTACCCAGGGTCTTACCTCTTGGAGAGAGAAGAAAAGATGCTGGTCACGTGATCTGCTAATAATCCCCCAAACTAGCAGATTTCTAATTAACTACAGTATCTTCGACTATTTTATAACAATCATACAAAAGGAAATACCCTGGGAATGAGGATCTGACTGTACTATATTATGCTCAATATTGAATGAATTGTTCTGACAATGAATTGTTCGAGACTTCCTAGCGCTTTCATTCTTTTAATTCATGTCATTCTATTGACTTGTATTGGTAATCCAGCTGTTTTAAAAATGTATGTAAATATAGAGAAATTATGTGTATTATTATCCTATTAGAACAAACAAAACTATGCCAAGACATGAACTGCAAACATGGCTTGTGTGTCATTTGATCAAAATTGTTCAAGGTAAAGGGTAATACAAGCTCCCGGAAAGTATGTCACCTTGGCTATAGCGCCTCACTTTTAAGGTTGAGACGTTAGGCTTTAACTAATATGATATACACAAACTTATGACATACTTTCGTATGACATACTTTCCAGAAGCGTGTATTTGGTAATTACCAACTGACAGTATTATATGATTAATTACTATTGCAGCCCTCAAAAAAGAGGTCAGCATTCCGATTTCAATGATTCATAAATACATGATTACTAGTGTACCAGAGGTGGAAAATGTTTTTCTATTTCATGGAACCTGAGTTTAGGGCTCAAGATTTTCTGCCAAATATTACAATATATAGGGAAAAATAACAAAATTGTTGTTTGTGACTTTTACCTTAGATGGATTGTTCTTTAAGATGTGTTGTAAAAGCAGTGACATTAGTTACGAGAACCACTGAGTATTTTTATAAAATACAATTTTTTTGAAGAACAGTGACTCCAAATAACATTTTGTAGCTTTAATGAATCTACGTTTCGACCATATTTTAGTCATCGTCATCAACCTGTCCTGACAATGACTAAAATATAGTCGAAACATAGATTCATTAAAGCTACAAAATGTTATTTGGAGTTACTGTTCTTTTGTATTTTAGTTACAGTCTTATACTGGATTGAAAAGAAATGAATATTTTCGTTCCAAACTGTTTTGCTGTAGCTAATTTAGGTATCGCTTAAGTAAATTAATTTGGTATTCAATCATTTCAATAATCATGCAATGCAGGTATTTAATAATTTCGATATTCAATCAGTGTAATTTTAAGAATTAGCTATCAAACATAAACAATGTCTATGAAAATTTCTGCAATATACTCCCCAAAAGTTTCTGGGAACTAGGTTCCTAGGTTCCGATACTTTTTCCACCTCTGTGGTGTACCAAGACACTTTTTCCACCTCTGTAGTGTTCCAAGACAGGGAAACAGATTTAAAAAAATGCAGAGACATGCCAACCTAGGTCAGATTTAGGTTGGCATTTTTTGCTGACCTCAATTTTTGATGGTTTTGGAGGACTGATATTGTTGCATTGCTAATAACTACAATTTATAACACAATTTTACTGACAGTACATTTCACTCGGCTTTCTTTTTTAACTCAGTTCTCAATGCCTTCTTCTTGAAAGTTTTTTCCTTTAACTTGTAACGATTTACAATGTCTTTGGCATATGAAAAGCTGCGAACTCGAACAAATAACTTCACAAAATTTTCTAAAACTAACTTCTTACATTCATTTGAAATATCACAATCCAAGTCTGTTGTTATATTTTCCCATACACTAATAACAACAGGTAGAGCAAGGACCTCATCAACGATCTTGTCTGTTGGAATGGCCGTTATCACAGACTTCTTGCTGTTTGATAGGTGCTTACGAAATACATATTCAGCATTTTCAGCAATGCATTTTATATGTTCATTTGGGGTCCACAAACCACCTCTGGATATGGATTCGATGTATGTGTCATCTTTCACATCTTCCTTTACAGACTGCAGTAGTGACTGAAGTTCTATTGAGCGTGTTGAGTTCCAGTGTGGAGAATTCTTACTCTTTTTATACAGTGCTCGAATAACGTATCCTGCAACATACGAGAGTGGGCCCAGCTCTTCAGGATTTATGATGATCTCGCTAGCAACCTACAATAAAAAAGGGAAATAGTTGAACATTAGTTGAACAAGGGAAACAGTTTCAAAGCAGATGACAGTATATACTGTAAGACAATTTCCAAACCACTAACAGCTTTATATGAGCTCAGGTACATATGGGAACTGGAGATAGCTGGGCAAAACCATTTTATAAATGCAATGCGCAACACAAGAGGTAGGGTCTAGGATTTGCAATCCAGACAAACACACCCTAATGCAGTATAATATGTAGTTAGGGGCCGATTACATGGAGAACTTTCAACCCCAGGGTTAAACTATTGATTCACAAGTAAAAAAGTCTTCATTTTGTTTTCTTGTAATAGTCACAACCACACATGCTTGAATAACTCATGATAATTTCAGCCCTGGGTTGAAACGGTTACATGACAAAATTTTCAACCCAAGGCTGAGTTCGGTTACATGACAAAATTTTCAACCCAAGGCTGAGTTCAACCTTGGGGTTGAAATTTCAACCCTGCTAGCTCGGGGTTAAAATTTCAACCCTGCTAGGTTGAAATTTCAACCCTGCTAGCTAAAGCAGGGTTGAAATTTAAACCCCAAGGTTGAACTCGGCCCTGGGTTGAAAAGTTTGTCATGTAATTGCGCATTCCATTTTGATAGATAGATAAAATGTTCCAAGTAATCGGCCCCTTAGTTTATATACTGTATATATACAATAATATTTTAAGTTTTAAACCTAGACTATTCAAAATAATCACCTCTTCTCCTGTAGCATTACTAGTAGCATGCTTGAAATGACCAACTAACTTTTGAGGGAAATGGATTAATACCAAATTGATAGCCTTCTGATCATTGCATGAAGGGAAGAAAATCTTCCATTTACTGTATATCTCCTTGTAGAAAGTGGCTAATAATGCATCTTGGTTGCGTTTTCGACAAAAATCGCTGAAAATTGTTCTGACGAAAGCAAGAAATTCCATACTCGGTTTTACACTTGATGTGGCGGTTAAAATCGTTTCCGCATAAAATTTCTCCTCGCGCAATTTGTCAACAATTTCTTTGAAGAACGTTTCCAAAAGAGCTAAGTCCACTGTTGGGATGAAAACCTTGCTTGTCGCCTTGGTTGATGTTGCTTCGTCACTGTCCGGATGTTTACTTCTGCGGTGCCTAGTCAATCCACCTTTTGACTTGCAAACTTTGGTGCATTTATCGCACTGGAAACTTTTAGTCCCTTCTACCTACATGAAAGAATGTCAAAGATGTTAAATATGGGGCCAAAAATCCCATATAACGCTCAGAAACATATATTATAACGACTTTTACCTCGGCTAACGCTTCAGACAGCTCGACATCAAACTCATCGGCATTCTCTTCGATAAGCTCCATTGTCCTTATAAACGGATCAATCGCTTCATCGTCATCACATTGCACTTCCTTGTCCTCAATACTAAAAAACTCCTCGTCACTGGAACAATTTTCATCCATAATTTCCGAAAATATAAGAATATTAAATGCGCCTCGCAAATTTCACTCCTTTGTTTTATTCTCGCATCCATGCACCTTCGATGGTCACGTGATGCTCCTGTCAACATCGCAGCGGGAAGCCTTTGAAGTTTGCCGGCCTTCCTAACCATGTCTGTGTTTCTATTAACTATGATTCAATCATCCCCTTTTCGCATCTGCTAAACGCGAACCAATCAGCGTCGACTGAGATAAATAAACTGTCAACTGTCAAATTGACGCAAGGCGTGTACATTGTGCAACGAAGAAATACTGAATATTAAAATTATACATAATGTATATATGAACAATAATACAAAGCATTAGCGGGTCGCACAAAATATTACTCGGAAAAATATAGAATTCTTCAAATATTAAATAGATATCAATACACATACAAATATAAAGCCGAATAATAAAATATACTACCATTGGCATTGAATCAATGTACAGTAATACTTGCACTATGTGCGAGTATTACTGAATATTTGAAGCTATTACTAAAATACAGATAGATTGGGATTTGGAATGCCGAATACGTCTAAAATTTTACTAACTGTGGTCTAAATAAATGATACGCGAGCATGTATTTATTAATTTCTTCGAAATCACGAGTGTGCCAATAGTGGAATCATAGTGGTGCATGGAAGCCGTATCGACAACGAAATTGTCAGCAGTTTATACAGTAAATAGTACAGCGTTTAATTTACGATATATATTTATATCTAAATGACATGCCAACGAGGATCAACAATATAATTATTCGTACATATTTGGGTATCTTTTGTATACCTTCGCTTGCTGACTTGCTCACTGATGAGAATAATCTGTGAAGCCACGACGACCTCAAAATGTATTATACAATAGTCTGATGTCAATCCGAAAACGAAGTTCAGAATACTGTTATTTTATTATAGTTTCGTATATTGGATTGAAGCGATGGATTTAAGTCATTTATGATAGACTTTTTGCTGTAATGCTTTGCTATTTCTTTTGGTTTCCATTTCTAGTTTTATTTGTTCGATAGTCTTATAATATATAATATTAAAATGATAAAGTTCAAATTCTTCAAAATGCTGTTGTTGACATTTGCTATTTTTAGTAATTTTGTCAACGAGTGCATGTAAGCCAATCAGAAGCATGCGTTTCTATACGAACGCCACTACCAAGAAAACCTATAGTTCCGTGCAGGCCCTCTATTCTTCGCGCCGCCCGTAACCCAGGGCCTGTTCGCAGGCTATACAATTTCCAAAGGCCTATACCCGATACTAGTTCATTAGCTGTGACTTTAAAGGCCATTGTGTTTGTGTGTGGCTTTAGGGATGCACCAGATATCATATCCGACCAGAGAGTGAGATCAACTTATTATACGGCCACCCAGCTACCGCAATTTGTGAGGCAGCATACTCTATCTACATTTTGCAAGTTTTCGTATTGCAACGAATAAAGGTTGATGTTGTGTTCATGTTCTGTAAATCTGGAACTTGAAATTTGGAACTTGAAATCTTAACTTTTTGCTCATATCATGATGCAAGCAGATGGTGAATTTGAAAGATTGCATTGGGAGGAATCCGTGTAGCGATATCATGATATTGCGTTAGGTATAAACAATATTCATGTCCTCGAGCGCGCGTACCACGTTGTCGCGTGGCGAAACTTGATCATGCTTGTAAAAGTATAAATTGGCTTTTATGATTTACAGTATTCCATGTTAAAATGAAAAGTAATCATTTCAATGATATTTGCACTTGTTTATTTCATTATGTAGTGCTGACCGGATTACTTAAAATTGTGCATTTATTATTAACTCGTGCATTTATTATTAACTAGAATAACTGTGCATTATTATTAATTAGAATAATCCCGGACTCACGCGTGCAGCGCGGTGCGTGGGTAATAATTACACTGGGCTATTCACATTAGGTTACAGTTCATAGGTGGATATCACACTGATCTGAAAATATCGCGAATGACAGGAATAAAGGTCCTGAAGAGAAGTGTGAGAATTGAGATTCGCCTGTTTTAGGGTTGAAAATGGGATTTCATGCACTGGGCCTGGGAATTACCAACAACAACAACAAAATTTAAAATGGTGATCGGGGATTTGAGCAAGACATGGCCTGAGACGATGGGATTTGGTCAAAATTTCGCAGTTTCTCTTGTTTGGTCTAAAGTGCATACTATTAACATTGAAATTTAATTCCATCAACAAAAGCCCTTCAATATTTAGCCGTTCTTTCTTGCGAGATGAACAAATTTCCGATGTTAATCCTGGTTATTCCCGCTTAGCATTAAACCGCCCTAACGCTTGTACATGCCTGTCCGTCCTCTGTTTGGAAAAAAGAAAGGATGAAAGAAATAAAAGACGGTGTATGATCTGCAACAGTGCCCGGGGTACGCATATAGGTAGTCTTAAGGTGGCTCGATATAGTTATTACAAAAACCCTGCTCAAGAATCGCGAACTCAAAACCGGCCGACCATTTTTACGCGCAGGTCGCGCAAACAGATTAACAATATGAAAGAAGTTCCAAAATGACCTGACGTGAGCAGTTGCTCGCGCCACATCACGCCATTGCGCGTGTTCTATAGCGTTTAATGTTAATTGCTGACGTCATTAAAATTTTCCATTTTAGAAAAACAATGCGCTATATATATATATATATATATATATATATATATATCTTTATTTTGTCTGGTGACCTATGTTCAAATTTTGCATGCTGTATTGCACCGCTAAAAACTTTCATTATACAAAAAATACAAATTCTGGAATGCCAAAAAATTTTACCGAAGAATATGACATTTTTGCATGTTCCGAAAAAATGGCATTACAGAATTTTTTTAAATTTTGCTAATTGTTAGCTTTTCGTCCAAGCAAAATAATGCACAAAAAAAAATTGGGGGTCACCATAGCAACGAACTATCTGTTACTAAAACGAATATAATTTGAAAGTAGACATATAAAAATATATAAAAAAACCAATATCTGCTGAAGAAATCCTAAAAATGCGTAGTTTGAACATGTCAAAGTGTTGAACACCTGAATTATTTAAAACTGTATCCAGCCACCTTAAGCTGATCTTAATTTTTAATTTTAACGTACTCTTCTTTCGTGTGCAATTTTATACAATATCAGTAATGTTGCCCTGTTCCGCCATACTTCAACCTCGTATATCCAGGGCTTTTTTACTTCAACCTGATACCCAGGGCGAAAAAGGCGCTGGCTTCGGCTGGTCAGTTTTGCAACCAGATTGGTCTATGATTTTGAATGTAAATATTCAATATATCTGGGAATAATTATTATTTTGGTAGTTCTTGAAGAACTAAGGTATTGAGTAAATAAGATTTTGATATTTAGCTTGAGATACAGGCAGAATTTGGGAAGGACAACACTTCAAAAAACAATTTGGTTCAAAATAAGTCTAAGTCTTTGTACATTTTGTATAGACGAGTATTTGCTTCGGTTCAACATATATACATTTCTCACATGCGTTGTTTACACATCGTTGATTTCAAGAAACGTACAGCGTTGTAGTCAAATAAAGATTGCGATACGAATATATATTTGCTCATAAAACGATTTGTATAAACCAAACGCTGAAGCGGTTTTGTCATCAATATTATGGGCTATGTTTGCATCTGTTGCTGAATGAGGTATGAACAACGAAAACAGCATAAAGTCAACTTATTTTGTCGCTTTCTCTTTGATTATATACGCAGCATTGAGTTTGTTTACTCCTGTCAGTAATTACAATGCATGTATATACTTATTCTATATACGTATTCATACGCATAAATTATCATAATTGAACACCCCAAATACTGGAGATTTTGAGGTCATGACCGCTGACCGGAAGCAAAATGCCCTTGGTACGAGGTTGCATGGCCATGCTTATATGAATAATTGAAATAATATATTCTGTTTTTGTGTACTATTTTAAATTAGTGTACTATGGAAGTAGCCGACGTGTATACATGAATAATTAAGAAGCAGTGAGTCAATACAACGTAGGCCTACTTATTCATAGTTAATGAAAATTCGACTGTTCTCACATCTGTTGAGTGCTGAATGCGAATGTTTGAAGAAAATCAAGGAAGTAAAGTTAGATTTTGGTAAGTTTCTTTTTACCTCGTATCAAATGCATCAGTTTATACTCATATTTCTGTTGGGTTTAAAATACTGCCGTAAGTGAAGTTGTTAATTTTGAAGGCCCTGCCTTTGTCTTTGAACTACGCGACTTTTCTATTTTCTGCAAATAATTTCTTCTCTAACATATATACTGCTGAATACGTCCCTTACAACTGTTCCAGTAATGCAAATGTTTAGTTAAAATATTATGGCAAATTTTGTTTGACGAACATGAGGAATAAACTGTTAAACTACTCAGTCCTGTTTAACTTAATAACTACACTTTGAATTATAATTGAATCATTTATAACGCATAAGCAAAATGCATTATCTGAGGGCGTGTTTCTGAATTTTTCTCATACCCGACTGTTCGACTTTTACGGCAATTTACTTACTTTACTTAACATACATGAACTGATACTAACAAACGTTTATAGTTTTAATGCATATATGCTCATTAAAGCAGGAGCCAAATGAAATTGAACACCAAATGAGTTTTGATGAATGTATAGATAATATTATTTGATGTCTTTTCCGACTGATGCTTCTCTCCTCCCCAGAGGATTACATGAAGTTTCCAGTCGTGTAGATTATTTGTAAATATGATATTTGCTGTGTTGGTGCAATGTACTCATCTACATCTACATTTTATTGAGTCGGTAAAAATCGGACGATTATCGCACCAACTATAACAATACAAAATACAAATTCAAAAAACCTAACTACAACTATCTCAACCAATCAATAAAAAAATATTACTTAAATACTTAATATTACTCAGGTGAATAAGATGCCACGGTGGGATTCGAACCTACGACCTGGTATTCCAAAGGTCGTAGGTTCGAATCCCACTGT